TCACCAGTAGTATAGTAGCACAGAGTTATAGAGAATGTGTTGTATTCTGTTCACCAGTAGTATAGTAGCACAGAGTTATAGAGAATGTGTTGTATTCTGTTCACCAGTAGTATAGTAGCACAGAGTTATAGAGAATGACCTATATGGTTCTGATAAATGCTGTACATCACAAAATTTATATTTTGTTTTAATAGTGAATGATGATAGTGATACTCTGAGTAAACTTACTTGTATTTTGAAAGATGCATCTTATTTTAGAAGTATAAAAGTCTACAAAATGTAATTAGTAAAATAAATTAAATGCTATAATCAATATGTTTGTTTTCTTTTTGATGCTTAAGTTCACATTTTGTATTGAGCATGTAAGGAGTTTCTTTTTTAGATGTTTGATGGAGCATATTGAAACTTCTCTGAAACTAACAACATTTTTTATCTTGTGTTTCCAAATTGTAAGCTTGTTTCTTTTTTTACCATTAATAGGTTGTCTTTTTTTAACTGTCTTTAACCTAGATACTTGTTTTAAATTTTATACATAAAAGTACAAAAACATTTTTTTGTTCATACTTTTCCAGAAATATTTTTGACTTAGTATTATAACAGTTGCTTTTAGTGACTTAAGTTATCTGCTAGAGTTATACCTTTAATAGAAAATGTTTTACCTTTGGATGAAAGAGCTATTTGAACCTGATGATTATAATTTGATGCGATGGTTTCTTCATCTGTTTGTTTTGTGTGATTCAGTTTTATAAACTTGTATTTTTTACTACATTATTTAGGTGATCGGCATATATCACCAATATTACACCAAATGAATAGCCATGTTTTAAAGAGTTTTCTGTATCCACTGCTCCAGATAAGCTTTTCACATGAAAAGTATCTCAGTGTTTGCAATAACCTGCAATGCTGATAATAAAAAAGAGTGGTTAAATTTCATCTGTTTTTGTGTTTCAATGATTTTTTTTCATCATCCAATCTTGCCTTTTAGCATTGTTTTGCTATGTTTACTAGGCACTTTTCATTTCTATATTATCATTCTACTAAGGACCACTCCAAGAAATTACAACACAAATTCAGTACAGTAAGAGCTCACCCAGCATGGCCAGGTGGTTAGGGTGCTCAATTTGCAATTTGAATATCCCGTGTTCGAATCCCCATCCCACCAAACATGCTTACCCTTTTAGCTGTGGGGGGATTATTATGTGATGGTCAATCCCACTATTTGCTGGTAAAAAGTAGCCCAAGAGTTGGTGGTGGGTGGTGATGACTAGCTGCCTTCCCTCTAGTCTTACACTGCTAAACTAGGGACGGTTAGCACAGATAGCCTTCGGGTAGCTTTGTGTCAAATACAAACCAAACCAGTAAAAGCTATAATGTCAGCTTATAAAATTAGACTGGTATAATTTTTAGTTCCACTGTTGAATTATGGGTAATCACTGTCCTGTAATTGCTGTATAACTATTTTCTCAATAAAACCTATAATTTCAGTAAAGAAAAGAAAGAGTCCATGAATGATTTGCCAGTAGATTATCCTTTTGGCAAATTATGACTCTTCAGTAATGCTTGGGAGAAACCAATGAGATATAGTAGGCTTTCATATAGTGCAAACAATTAGTAGGATTTGATGTCCTTTACTCTCAGATCCTATAAATTGTTGTGTAACGTTTCAGTCAGATTCCTGTGAGAACATCTCCCATTCTTTGTGTTTTATTAATGATACAGGTTTTATTTCTTTTGAACTTACAAGTATGTACATATACATAGATGATTATATATACCAGTGAACAGGATGTATATTTGATATTAACAAGTCATTATTTCCAGTGCATTTTTTTATGGAAAAACAAAATACGTATTTAGGCAAGTACACGTTTTATCTGGAGCATTTTATATCATTTAATTGTTTACATCTCTTCTATCCAGTCTTCTTACATGTTTGGGTTTGTAAGTTAACTTAACACCAGTAATACTACATGTATGTCCAATTCTGTTGAATGCTGAACATTGTGAACAATTATTTATCATCACTTAACAGATGTGTTAATAGGATTTAAATCATACCATAGCGGAAGAGAAACTATTTGAAAATATATTATGAATGTAGCTGTTGTAGACTGAAGATTTTGTTTTACTTTCTTACAGTGATTGACTAATAGTCCTGGCCCTACAGTGTTGCCCTGGTGTCAACTGCCAGTTTAGCTCACAGGAATATTTGGTATTGCCTGACTCAACATGTATAAATCGTGTTGTGTACTGACTTTTTCATGTGTGTGGTTCTTGTAGTTTTTGAGGATAATGTTTTCTACTCCCATTCTATCTTACTTTGATTAGCATGGTATCTAGGTTACCCACTAGAAAGTTAAACTGCTTTAGTGAAGTCTTATGTTCTAGTCTCTGGTGTAGTGGCACATTACAGCTTTCCATATAATCTTATATTCAAGCTATGTTTGTGTGGAAAAATCTTTATACAGAATGTATATAAGTTATCCATTTTAAATGCTGAACTATTTTATGTATTGTCTTATGTAATTCTAATAAGTTATTGATTTCCAAATTAAACATAAATATCCATAGAAATTTAATACAGTGGTTGGCAGAGAATTCCTTAACAGTAATTGTAGTTTGAAGGTCTGGTCATTGCTTTTGTAATTGTGTGTAGTTCATAATGTCTTTTCAGACTTGAAGAAGGTTCTTTTAATGACGTTTTTTGGAGTAGTTCTGTCATATCTTTTGAAATGTTTAGTACTAATAAAAACAATTTCAGTATTGTTATGTTTAGATCATGACAGTTGGAGATTCCAGCTTATTAAAGAAGTTGTATCTGTTATTATTACATTTTTATTTTTGTACTTTCAAAACAAAAAAAGAATGTGCCATAAACGTATTTCTTTATTAATGTAATTCAAAATCTTTCTTGTATTTATATATTTTGTTCTTAATCATTATTTTGAAATTTTCAAGATAACAACCAATGTAAATTAGAATTAATACAATGTATTTTGTTCTTGTTCTGTGTAACCTTCATACTTGCTTTCTTTACTGTAGATCTTGGAATAAACACTTGTCATCACAGCACCTGTCCTTTGCACTTCTAGTCTTTAAGTAGCACTTGGCACCTACTAAGCATGGCTCTGATTGTCTGTGATACTATTACTGCTCTACTTTTGTTTTATATTATGGAAGGATATCTTTGGTTATTAATTATAATATTGGATGTAGAAGCAAGTATAACTGTGTTGACAAGCTCATAAAACTTTTCATTAAATACTTTTATATAATATTTAAGTGGGCTTAAATTACCCTAAAGCAGTGAGATAGTCAGTTACATACATTTTCAGAAACACATTTGCCAGTGGTTTTAGACACATTAAATTTTTCAGAGTAATTTTTACAATTATTTACAGAAAATGAGTTTTGGTAATTAAAATAGTCATTATATTTCATCTAACAGATTTTATAAACAAGTACACAGTATATTATTTCAGTAATTCTTGGAAAGATTGCAACATACCCTTCCTGTCATTAAGAAATAAAAAATACTTTGTTAGATAGCTTGTATTGATCTAAAATTAATATTAATTGTTTTTACATAAACTGAGTTTTATTAAAAGAAGCAAGTCTATTAAAACATAATAGTTGTTAGTAATAGAGTAATGCCCAATAACAGTAAGGAAAACATCATCAAATACACTCTTCAATAATTGGAACAGCATCCACTGTCTTGTAATACATGAGGAGTTTGTGGCAAGAATTGACCCTCCTTAATGAATGAGTTCAGTAATTGGAACAACAAGGTCTACTGTCTTGTTATATATAATACAGGTAGATTTTAAGTAAAGGAAATGACATCTAACGATACTCTCTTAATATTTGTGAGATGTATCACCCACTTTCTTATTATAATTATTAAAGGGAGCTACAGTATTTGACCTTCTTTAATATTTGTGAGATGTATCACCCACTTTCTTATTATAATTATTAAAGGGAGCTACATTATCTGACCTTTTTTAATATTTGTGAGATGTATCACCCACTTTCTTATTATAATTATTAAAGGGAGCTACATTATCTGACCTTCTTTAATATTTGTGAGATGTATCACCCACTTTCTTATTATAATTATTAAAGGGAGCTATATTATTTGACCTTCTTTAATATTTCACCTCACTTCACTTTGTCCCTTAACCCTCGGGATCATTGGGGCACCACTGACAACTTTGCAACCAGCTCTCTCCATCTTTCTCAATTTTCCACTACCCTCTGGGAGTTGACAGACTCCAGGCCTGTCCACTCTTTGATGTTCTCCCCACCTTTTCTTCTGTCTGCCTCTTCTTTTCACTCTCACGGTGCCTTGCAAGATGGAGTTTGTCAAGCCAGATGACCACGAGACGGTTGAGTATTGGTTTTAAAAAAATTAATATTTCCAGGGTTGTAATTGGTACAACAGGGTTTACTGTCCTGTTATAATACCCACAGGTTTAGCCATCAGATGTGTAATATTTGCTGGATTTAGTCCTACTCTTCTTTAACAGTGTTCATGTTACTTAATAAATCCATTCTCTTTCTGTCTCACATGAACTGTTCAAGTGTTCTCCAAAACATCGAATAAAGATATCTGTATTCTCTAATTTATTGTTCAGCACATGCATCTACATAAACTCTCCTTGTGCTACATACTTCAGTTACTTTATAAATCATTACAAACAAACCACGATAACCTTAGAAAGGTCAACTCTTACTCTCCCGGAAATGCTGGGAATAGGCTACCAAATTAATATGAATGCCATATTATAGTTGATAGTCCATGTTTCACAAAATGTAGGGGTATTTTTTTATTCTGCCAAGCCCTGAAGCTGTCTGCTCAGTTACAGACATGACCTTGTCATGGTGTCTTGGTAAGAATTATGAAAAGGAAAATATTTACTTGCAATTACATGTATTCCCACTCCTGATAAATGTGTTTAAACTTCTGTCGAAACCCACTGTTATGATGATCACTTGGTGTACTTGTCAAAATAACAAGAAATGTTATATTTCCTGATAGGAGGCCACTAAAGACATACTTTCACATTCTGAACGATTCTATGTTCTTAAGACATTATTTTAGTCTCTCATACTTTCAAGGAACATAGTATTGTAAACCTAGCTGTTTTAAAACAGTAAATGCATATGTTAATATGATCTTGTGATCCTTATTCAACTCCAAATGTGTGATTTAGTTATGTTTCTGTTATGAGCTTAGACTGTGTTATACATTAGTAATGTATAAGAAGTCGAGTTTGGAAAATGTAAGGTATTTGATAATGTAATTTATGTATACTTTGTGTTGGGATTGCATTCAAAATATGTCCAAAATCATTACTAATACAAGAATCTGTGGTTTTTCTTGAAAGTAAGCATATTTTTTGCACCTCACTGTGCAAACTTCTATTCAACGGATATGTAAGTGTATAAAAGCAATAGTTTTAAATGATGAAAAAATTTATTAATAGTGAAAGAAAGATCACTTCTGAATATTTTAGTGTTGCAACATCACTCTTTTTTTAGTATGTGGTTTAGTTTTCTGTGTTTGCTTTGATAGGTGTAATATAATTGTTACACTTCACCTAATAGTTTGTGTGATAGCAGCTTTTGTCAAATAAAATACTGCATTATGAAGAAATTGGATTGTTGTGACTTGTTATGTATAGTTTGAAAAAATACTTTTTTTAGGGGAGGGGATTAAGTTTTTTCTGTGAGACATGATTTGAGGTTTACAGTGTTGATTATCCAATCAAAATTTATAGTCCATATTGTAGTGAAACTTTGAGAGGTGACAATGTTTAGTTTCCATACTGATAATTTTTGCATCAAATTTCCTGAGCTTACAAACCATTTGTGAGACAGCTATTGTCAAGCTAAAGATTGGACTTGGAGAGTTTGTCTTCTGATTTTCCTATGGATTTGTTGTGACCGTTTTAGAGTTTTTTGTAAAGAAGATTTAAGCTCTCAGTTGTGGAGTTTTTGCAACATTTCAATCAAACTCGCTAAATTTGAAAAATAAACAACACATTACCGTGGACGAGTTAAAAAATACCTTGTGGAAAAGGAAATGAACTTCAAGCAAAAACTGATAAAACCATAAAAGAATCAATTAAAAAGGAAATAACAACAAAAAACAATAATCAAAAGCTGCAACAACCCACATAAAGAATCTGAAGGATGAAAACAGTTACAGAATAGAGATGTTAGAAGTTTGTGTATCAGAGACGTGTAGCTCAACAAAGACAGACACAGGGAGAACAGAAGATGCAAAACTGTAAGATGAAGAAATACCAGAAGAGGGTAGAAAGTACTTTATGGTAAATGAGGCCCCAGGACTGGTCATATCACAAGCACATACTGAGACAAGCTCTGTTTAACAAAATGTTGCAGGAAAAGAAGAATACCAACCACATGGAAAGAAGCAAAAATCATAACCTTGTAGAGAAAAAAAAGAGACTCAAATGCCTACTATTATATTTACAAACTTTTTGAAGAGTTCTGGTGAACTTATTGTATGCTAACTAACCTACAGAACAAGTTGGCTTTGAAAAGGGATACTCCACAACTGACTATTTACAAGTCATTAGCCAACTAACTGAAAAAACAAATGAATGATAAATCTGTGCCACATGTTATGTACTAGGAGAAGGTTGTCAACTCTGTTAGACACAAACACCTTTCGTTGCAATAAGACCAGTTGACATCACAGAAGGATATGTTAAAATCCTGAAAGATGTATATGCAAATGCAACATGCAGAATACATATAAATAACACTTTGTCTTAAATAATGGATAAGAAATGGAGAGTTAGACAAGGAGACCAAACTATTTACATCAGCTGCAGAATGTGTGTTTGCGGAGATGGTACACAAGGAGACCAAACTATTTACAGCAGCTATAGAATGTGTGTTTGCGGAGATGGTAGAGAAGGCGACCAAACTATACACCTGGAAAAAGTTAAGCACCCCGTTGTTTTTTCAAGTGATTCAGTATTCGACGTTCTTGTGACTGATTATAAATTACCATTCAATC